CCCCAAAACCCCAAAACCCCAAAACCCCAAAACCCCACTAAATTCTGAAGAATTTAAGATAAATTAATTAGAAAACAGAGTATGCCAAGGGTAAGTTCAGCCAATTTTGTACCAAAATTATCAGATTTCCTTCAATGCTCTCTTTCCAGCTGATTCTAACTCAATGTAGAAGAAACCTCAGAGTAAAAGGAAAGATCAGAAGCCAATACCTCAAGAAGGAACTGATGACAAGGATAAGAAGGCCTTAGAAAAGAAGCTGAAGAAATGAAGCTATGAGAAAGGGTATATTAATCAAGAACTCTTTGCCTGCGAAACATGATATAAGAAGAAAGAGGATGAAGAAGTAAATGAGCCAAACAAGTATGGAAGATCTGTAGAGCCAGCTGGAATCTGCTTGTCCTGCCTCATAGCCTGTCATCAGGATCATGAGGTCTATGAGATCTGGAGAAAGAATAACTTTAGATGTGACTGAGGGAATGCTAAATTTAACTCAGAATGTAGATTGAACCCAGATAAAGATCCCTTGAATAGTGAAAACTCCTATGACCATAATTTTTATGGGAGATATTGCCATTGAGATGAAAAAGACAATGGTGAAGATGATCTGTACCAGTGCACTTACTGTGAAGACTGGTTCCATCCAAAGTGATTGAAGCCTGATTTCACTGTCAAATTAGCTTCTTCTGACAAAAAGGAGAAAGCCAATTGGAGGATTATTTGCAGAAACTGTTGTAAATAAACTAGAAAACTTTAAGTGAAAATCTTCTAAAAACAAGCCAAACCTCGACACTAAAGAAGCAGTAGGCCAAAGTAAGTCCTCTGAAAGAGCAAGAATCACTCGTAAAAGGAAGAGAGATGAGCTCCTCTCTCAAGAAAATTCTCAGCAAGATCCGAAGCAATCAAAAATCCTTATGCTCACTCTAGCATATCCAACCTTAAAGAGTCCAACTAGCTTTCCTTATAGACTGCTGAGTAATTTCTGGAAGATACATTACCCCCTTGGTATCTCAGTAATCTTCACATTCTTCAGAGAGATGGAACCTAAAGATGCTCGATTAATAGTCCAAATAGAGCAGTTCTCATCTTCAAAAAAATACAATCATACTTTATAACTATAGCAAGTTTACCCAAGAACCTGAGTTGTACATAGGCTTAATGTATCTAGGAAACTTGCATCAAACTTCAACAAAAGTGGGTTGCCAATACTTGGATTATTGTATGCTAAAAATTGACTTTCCTAATTAAGGAAGCCATCTAGATCCGTTCTTATACTGAATAACTGTATTTACTGTTATTCATTAAGAAAGAAAGTATTACTCCTGCGTTTCCATTCGTCGTTTTAGAATTAGAATACGATGGCAGTAGAGTGCTAAAGAAGAAATTGAGGGCTCAAGTGAATATGTACAGAGCTCAAGGTTTGCAGCTTTAGTGAAATTTAAGGGTCTAGAATAGCCTAAGATTTTTGTAGAGACAGAAGAACATGAATATTTATGACTTTCTAAGATTTTATACTCACGCTAATCTGTTTATTTATTAGAACAGAAGTGAATGTAATACTTCCAAGCATCCAATGATAAGTGCTCCAGTAAGATCATTTATAAAAAAGAAATTTTGCAAAATTTAGATAGCTGGTAAAATAACCCTTTTTTATTTATTCTATTATCCATTATAGCTGCTCCAAGACCATTGATGAGAATAAGAGATTCAAAGACGGAGAAAATTCAACAATTGAGGATATAGATGCAGGGAATACAAAGTCTCGTCAAATCAATCAAGAGGAAGAGAAGAAGAAAGAGAAGAAGGAAGAGAAGAAGGAAGAGAAGAAGGAAGAGAAGAAGGAAGAGAAGAAGGAAGAGTACGAGGATGTGATCCTTGACGGGCCAATTAAATACTACCTATGCGATTGTAAGCAAGTTCATTTACCCAAATATTAACTAAAGTGTAGGATCAAGTCAAAACTGCACTGAGTTTATGAATAAGATTTTAGCCCAAGTTGAAGCAGTCGAAAATGTCTCAGAGGATGAAGAAGACATACCCAGGGACTTACTCGAAGATAAGCACATCCATTTTAGAAGCCAAATTGTACCTGAAGACCCGCCTCCCACTGCAGCTTCTGGCTCTGATAGAATCAAAACTGGGAGTGAATTTGATGAAGACAAAGCGAGTTTGAAATAAAACAATATTCGGTTCAAAGTTAAAAGAATACGTTATTAAAATATTAAGTCATGAGATCGGAAAGTTGTGCAAGGATAATTCTCACACTACAACTGATGGCAAAGAGTGAGTCACCATTAAAGATCTGAAGAAAATGATGAAAAGAGTAATGAGAGGAGAGATAGACATTTTCCCCATGCTTTAGGATTAAATCCTTACTTAAATTGTCATTTGTAAAACATTGACTCATATCAATGTCTCTTAGAGCTTAGATACATTTTTAGTTGGTAGATCTTTCTGAATTTAGCTTTTTACTCCATGAATTTAGTTTCAACTGGGTTAGCTCATAAAGGGGTTTTGGGGTTTTGGGGTTTTGGGGTTTTGGGG